GGAATAGGGAGGACAATCTTCTCTTACAGCATTTTGGTTTATGTTCTAGATCTCAAGCCTCAGCCAACAGAAAGCCTTGACATTATGGACACCTAAGCAGCTTGGCACTTCTTTGATGCTCTTTTTAAAAAGAATTCAAAAGATATAAGACTTCTTTAGTAGAATTAATTATCCATGTTGTCATAATTCCTGCCTTAAGTCAACCAATAATCTCTTCTAATCATCAAAGCAAGAAGCAAGGAGTCATTTGGTTATTCTCTTTTCCTTTCTGGGAAAACTTAGACATGAGTGAAATTTATAAAAGGCACAAAGGAAAGGTGACAAGCCAGCTGGAAATGTGGGAAACCAAATGCTGTCACCTCTGGGGCTTAAAGCATGAAACACTGAATTTATTTGTAATTCTTGTTCCAAAGAAAAGAATCAGGAAAACCCATCATGTTGGCCCTAAAATTAAGGCTAAATTCAAAACCCAACTTTGGGGGGAAGGGCAGATTATAAATCCAAGGAAGAGACATGACAGTAACTGATAAATGAAAACAAAATTCTGATACCCCTTTTTTGTTTTGATCTCTCTCTAGCTGAGCCTCTAGCATGTTGCTGGAAAGAGCTATGATGTCAGAGGAATCTTAGCCTCTGTACCAGGAGGGATCTTAGAGATCATCTGTTCTATCAGATCAAATTGATGAGTCAGTTGGAAGCCAGGCCCTTGGCAAGTGAACACCAGACTTGGGTACAGAACTCAGACTTCCTTTTTCCTATTTCTGTGGGCTCTTAATCTTATCCTCCAAAGTGATTGGTACACAGAAACACCCTTCTCAACACTGGACTTATAATATTTCAGTTGCTTACAAATGTTACACATAGCTGATGATTATTTGTCATAGTAGTTATATTCTGTAATATGGCCAAGAATGCTGAATTACTGAATATTGAACATTTTCTTCTAGTAAATACATAGTTTTAGGTTCCTCCAAGCCTCTGGTCACACCATATTCATCTACTGATCAATACATAATCTTGCTGTGCTTCTGTTTACACGACTTATTTAATATGTATTGTTGTGCCACTAATATGGAACTCCTGTCTAACAGCAGGATATCCCATGCCTGAAGGAAACCATCTCCATAAGGGATGCTCAGCGTCCCTATGGTTAGGACACTAGATAGCACTTCAGCATTACACTTAGGGGCAGTTTAAAATAACTATATCACCGAGAAAAAGCACAACAAGGTGGAAAACATGGCACTAAATAGACCATGAAGAGAACAATTATTTACAGTATAAAAGCTTGAAAGAAGAGAGCAAAGCCTCACCTTGTTCAACCTCAGCTGTAACATATACATATTAGATGATTCAAACTTTTTGCCACTGTGAGCGTGAATGCAAATGATGACCAAATCACTCTGAGAATTGACTTTGGGGATATGATTGAATTTCAGTGAGTAGGCCAATTGGCAAATATCCAGAATCCATGGATAATGAGGGTTAATTCTGTTATTATGAATGATATGGCTGTACTTTTTTCCCTAAAGAATTTTGATACCTAAGATATTGCCAGATTAAATTAACAATAAAACTACCAGCTGTTATCTTCCTGCATAGAACATGTTCATATATTTTATAAATGTCGGGTCTAGGAAATCCCTAATTCACATATCCAGGGCTATTGCTAATTTTTTCCTTTGTTGCATAGGTTGGTGGCCATTCAATGGTAATATGCGCATTCAATGATAAAAGACAGACATAAGGTATATAATCTGGACAAAGACATAGGCAAAACAGGATAGTATATATCAGAAAGTGATCTATAGGTTGTAAATTCGTTGTAGATAATTTAAATTTTGCTCATTGTGCTTTTTGTATTTCTAGAAACATGCTTCTATAAATGTGCTACTTTAGTTAAGTCTAAAGGCCAATGTGAACACTATTTTGAAAAGATAAGCAACATTTTTACCCTATGTTAAGCCATACCCCAAACAGGTCAGAATCTGTCTCTTTTTGAAAAAGTTTCTCTGAGAAATAGAGTGATTCTGAATTTTTTAAATCTTCCTCATCATTTTTCTAATTTTTCATTGCCTTTATATCTTCTGTTCTCACTTTTTTCTTCTGGTTTTCTGTCTTCTCTCTCAAATCAGCCATCAGCATCATCAGATAAATGGGCTATTACACTGGCTTCAAGGCTTTCTCCTTGACTTGAACTTCCCTCAGTGTTCCATGCAAGCATCCATTATTCGGATGGCTAAGACAGAGACAGGTCAGCTGAGAAGACTAGAGATAAAAGCAGAAAGAGATAGAGGGAGAGGTGGCAGTAACTAGCAGAGCCTTGCTCCGAAGAAGGCCAGGGGAGGCAGACCCAGAGGTCCCAGGAGTGTAGATGGGAAGCATAATTTTAAGACAGGAGGTGAGGTTGGATATTCTTGAAACCATCTAAACAGAAGAAAGTAAAGGTGATCTTGACAGTATTCAGAACCAGTACTTTCAACTTTCTCTTTAATAGGAGGCAAGGTTATGTGTGAGCAGTTAGGCAGGGAGGAGCTTGGGTGGGGCCCCGGGAGAGTGAGGAAGATATGAAATAATAGGTTATGAGAGCAGTAAGCGAGGCACACAAGCAAGTGAAAAAAGTGCTGGTGAGCGACAAGGATCCAGCTGCAACTGGAAGCCACCCTTTTGGCTGTCTCTCTTCACAGTTAGCAGTATTCTCCAGCGAGCCTGTAAGCAGATGGCCAATTCCATCCCTCGCCCCACTCTCTCTTGTGTTTTTGCCACCTGAATTCTGCTTCCTTCTTTCCCTCACCAATCTGCACTCTAAGTTCCCTCACTGGTAATGCTTAGTAGCCAACACCCTCAATCCTCTCTCCCCTTTGGCTTTCTGTGGCTTTTGCTTTGTAATCCTCAAACCCCAGTCAGTCAGGGTAAGAGAGTGTTTAGTGTTTAGTTTTGACCTTATGACATTGCTGTTCTTACATGTAAGACATGATTACCTATCTGGGATTTAATGATGATGGCAGAATACAATTACCAGTCTCAGAATGCTACGAGATTGTACCCTCATTGGAGCGCTTGGAACTGGTGGTGTGTCCCAGGAGGCATCAGGACCTAGTTACAGCAGTTTCCAAGTCAGTCTATCTGGAGATTTCCCCCCTTTCAGAGTGAAGAAACCAAAGTTCTCAAGCCTAACTATGGCTCTAACGGGAAGGCTACTCTAACATTTCATATTTTGCATTATTTCTTCCCGGACAGGCACAGTGTAAAGTTGTCAAGGATACAAACAAAATTCAAAACAAGAATGATGGGAGAAGAGGGCTTGGGAGGAGCAGATTTAAAAAATAAAGAAAACAAAACCAAACCGTCTACAATGAGGCCTTGATTAGAAATGGCAAATGTAGCAGTTGTTCTAACTGAAGACAAATTATCAAAACAGATGTTTTCTTGTGTTAGGACCAGAGTTTCATTTTTCATAGCCTCTATAACTTCTCCCATTATCCCTGCCTTTAAAAATACTCTCTTATCCTCCTATTTAGACCCAAAGTTGGAGTATATAAATTCCAAATGTCCCAGGATAACCGAAACTCCCCTAACTATGAAAGCTCTACTATTGAGAAATTAGGAGAAATTTGGTAGAGAAACTCTCCCAACTCCTAAACTACCCTAACTGTGAAAGCTCTACTATTGAGAAATTAGGAGAAATTTGGTAAAGAAAGTCTCCCAACTCCTTAGAAGTGAGGTTACTATGCATATTAGTATAATGAAGAAATGCCCCCAAAGTCTTCAGATGTTAACTGAAATTAATACTATGGTGACAATTGACATATAGTATAGTCTTTGAGGAAGGACTAAATGATAATATAATAAATAACACTATTGACAGAAAAAGCTTTAATTATATGAACACTAACAATCTCATAAATGACTTTTTCTGAACACTTGGAATACATCATCTGAAATAAATTATCTCAAGCCACTTCTGAGATTGGTTTATTCTATTTAATAAACCAAGGCTCAGAGAGATGTTTATGCTTAAGGTCAACCAGCTAGTAGTACTTGTGATTAGAACCTTAGTCAATTGCCTCTATAGCCAATGCCCATTCCAATCCCATTTCTGGAGAATACCAGGTGTGACTTTGTGGCAATAAAGTCCACTAAAGTGTAGAATGAGTCTTCTGAAACCTAGGCTTTCATTTTTAAGAGGAGATGAAGAGTGTCCCAGTGGATTTAAAAACTCAAACTAAAAAGTTCACAAGGACCCTATTAATGTTCTCAAGAGGAAAGCTTGAGTGAGAACTAGGGGAGGAGAAGCCTATGGTGAGCTGCTGGGAATTAATGAGAGACACAGCCTGTCTAATTTTCATGCAAGCAAACACCATCACAAATGCTTTCAAAGTTCAAGTTGCAGTGAATGAGGTAATGCTGTTTGGGAAGCAAAGTAAACATTACTTTTGTTTTGCTCTAATATTTTTTATTTTTCATTTTTCTTTTCCCTCCCCGTCTCTCTCTCAATGTTGAGCTTTTTTGCTCTTTTAAATCCAAATTGTTCTCACCACCCCGTTTTTGCCCCGTCTCTGCAAGAAACATTTTATAGCCTCCCTTTGGCCTGCAGAGTTTTTCAAGACCCTTCTGCTCAGGCAGACACTATTTCCTTACTAAGCTGGAGATATTTAGAGGGTGGAAAATGATGTTGGATTTGACTTGGCAGAAGCAAGGGGACAGAGGAGGTAAGGGAGAGAGAGAGGAAAGGAAGGATCTCCTGTCAAAATAATATTGACTTTTAACCAATCACACAGTGCAAGTGGGGCATTTTCATAGATAGTCTTAACAGTTTTACTACATTTTTTTTTCCTCTCGTTCCAAATGTGCTTTCAACAGTTATGCTGTTTTCAAATGAACTGAAAGAAGCACTGTGTTCAGAAGGGACAAGGATGGGCTATAGCATATGACTGGAGAGATACAAAAGCTGCTTTATTTAAATGTATGTTTGCCCTGGCAGGAATTTGGAGACCTACCTGTACATAATCCACACTTCGTCCCAGGGCTCTGAAGGCCGTGTACATGACTTCTCTCTTTCCACCCCATTTTTGCATGATGCAGACACTTTTGTTGGACAAGACCAATTGGGTTACGTGTTGAGAGCTTTCTTTATGTGACTCGTCCGTCTCACCAGGACCCTTTTCATGGAAGTTGTTCTTCCAGATGTAAGTGGCTGATTTGTCCCTGCCCATGACTTCACTGAAGATGTCCATCATGTAAATGTCATCTTCCGAGTTCCCATCTATGACCATGACAACTTTAATCCCAGGATAGGTTAGCCTTTTCACAGATTGCAAACATTTCCTTAAGTAGTCTGGGTCTTCTTGATATGCAGCGATGCAGAGAGCAACTGTTTTGTTCAATTTAATGGGGGTTTCTAGAGATTTTTTCATTTTTCGGTGCTCCAAAAAAGCAAACAGGCTTTGGATGATGAGGTGTGATGCTAGAAAGGCACCATACAGTCCAAAAGAGAAATAATAATTATCCGTTTGGATAAACTGGTAGCCAACAATATAAGCAGCTGTGATTCCAAGGAGGAGAGAGACTCCAAAAAGTGTGGTTCCGATTATTCTCAGGATGCATATAAACCTCTCACAATGCATCTGCAATATAATCAAACGATACTCTTGGTTAACCACCATTGCTGCAGGTTTGTTATATACCCGGCACCGTGGGGAGAGCGTTGGATTAGAAGCATCCAGGAGCTTTGACACTGACTTTCTCACTTAACTTGCTGTATAACTTTCTGCACCTCATTCTGCTCATCTACAAAATAAGGATAAAGGTGCCCTTCTGGCACGCCTCAGAGAAGTGTTTTAAGAACCAAATGATAGCCAGGAGCTCTGGCCAGGGCCTGTAGTCTCAGCTACACAGGAGGCTGAGGTAAGAGAATCACTTTAACCCAGGAGTTAGAGGTTGCTGTAAACTATGATGATGCCATGGCATGCTATGCAGTCTACCCAGGGCAACAAAATGAGACTCAAAGAAAAAAAAAAAAAGAACCAATTTAGATGATGATGCAGGGTATTAGACTATTGAAAACCACAGTGCATTAAACCAGTACCTGTATGCATCACATTTAGTGGGTTATATCATTTGTCTAAGGCTCTGTGTATGTGTTCACAGCTAGGCACGCAACCTATAACTTTCCTAACACCGAAAGCAACCATTCCTCCTACACGATGTAGTCATCTCACCCCTTGATACTGAATTTTGCTGAATTTTTCATGTGTAATTTCATCTCATTTCCAATGTAAATCTGTCAACTTACATTATTTCCATACAGCCAGCTGAGATTAGAGATCAGGATACCTGGATTCTAGTACTATCTCATGAACTAGCTGTGTGACCTTGGATAAGTCGCTGTACCTCTCTGGGCCTCAGGTTTTGTTCTTATTTTAAATCTGTTAGATGAGGGACTTTAGGTTTATTTCCAAAGTCATTATTGACATTTTTAAAACTCCTCCATCTTTAGGTACCCTGCCCAGATACCTATCAGAGCCCCTGTGATTCTGAAGTGTACTCTTTATACTCCTTGGCTCAGATATCTTTCTCCACCATCCACCATCAGCAACACTAGACAGTTAGATCCTGCTGATCAGGAACCTTCCTGAAACATAGTAAGCACACGATAAATGTTTGTAGAAATAATGAATAAATGAAAGAAGAAATAACATCATGCTTAATTTCAGCAGGTGAGTTTCCACCCTATGCAAAGCTACATACGCTAGACCGGAGAATCACTTCTACGCAATAACAGTCTTGCAGTCATCACGAAATTCTGTATATCCCCATATTAAATTATTAGACAACATAAGGCTAAGAGGACCACTTTTCTCTGTTTCTCAATGCATTTCCAGTGCTGAGTACTCCAGTGGTGCTGGGCAAACCACTTTTCCCTCTGAAGTTTTATTTTCCTTCTCTTCCAAGAATGAACTAGCCTGAGAGACATAATTGATATAAAGGTAGTTATCTGCATCCTTAGCCATTCTATTTTGGGGTTTTTTGTGCTATCTACATATATTTAATGCTTAATCTCTTTCTTTAATTCAATTTAGTTTTGAAAGCTGAATTCATTTTAAATGGAAACTTAGGCTAAGCAATTAATCTCTGCAAACCCTCTTGTCTGATTAGCTATTTATATGTTTCTAATCCAGATCCAAACTTGAAATTGCACATCCACATAGAATCTAGTCTCATCTTGCCTGTTAAAAGTTTGCATGGGCACCACGCTGCACAGCTCCAGAGGCATTCACATAGTCACTCACTATCCCCTATAATTGTACATTCAGTGATCCAGAGCAGATATGCAGTACTTCTAGGAAACGTCAGCGTGTCTGCTTACCAACTGTCTTACCTCTCCTTCCTGAGCATGGTATGACCATGCTACATGGTGTGACCACAGCATCCCTACTTTTGGAAATGTGAGCCAGGCCCCAGTAGGGTTTTTAGGAAACTTGCTACACATAAGGTTCTAGGAGATTTCAGAGCCCCCAGATAGACAGAGTTTGGTCCTTGAATTCCCATATAGAAGGGAGCCACCATCACCTGGGAATACCTGTCTTAGACACTCATACTAGGAGGAAATAATTGATGGATTTTTCCTTGTTTGTTATGCATTTTGGGCATCAGTTCTCTCAACTATTATACGGTAGGTGATATAAATCAGCCTAGAGATCAGAACTGTAGTATGTAGACCTCATTTTCCTTTATTGAATGGAAATAATAGAACTTGTCAAAGACCCTTCACGGGGCTATGGTGAGAAGCAAAACGAAATAGTGTCTGTGAAAGTGTTTATAAAGCAAGAAACACATTGCAGTTTAATGTATCCGTTAACTAGGAAGCTGAAGAACATATAAAAAAAAAAACCCAACTTCTCTGTTCTACTTCCAGCAGCCTATTCCTAGGACACCACACTCTGTAGTAGGGGAGAATGATAAAAGTAACCACAATACAAATGGTAGGTTTACAGGGTTAAAGGATGGTGAAATGCTGAGTTTTCAGAAACAGTGAGTCCAGCATCTCTTGTTAATTAACACAGCTGAGGAGATGCTGAAAACTCCCCAGTGGTACATTAACCGGTGCCTAAAGGTGCTGGGAGCACCAGACTTGGAACTTGTCATTTCCAAGACATGAGTCATTCTCACAAGAGTGAAAAATTTCAAGAGGACTAAAACACTTTGCCAGGGAGAAGCTTAAGTGTGTGTTTAGCTTGTGTTTAAAATCACCATAGCCAGCAAAAGAACTGCCTGCCATTCCTTTCCATTATTCACATTTTCCTTGCTTTTATCAGCACACGTGGACAGAGAGAGTGTTGACATAGCATCTGCTGGCCACAGCTGAAGCGGGAACGCCCTCTGACATCATAGGCGTCTACAGAATGTCCTTTTGAAGCCTGGGAAAAGTTTCGAGTAAACTGCAACAACGTGGCTAGAATTGAACTTTTATATTTCTGCCAGGTATCTCAGCACTGCCTGGTATGATACACACAGCATCTCAGCACTGGCCAGAGGGCAAAGGATCCATTTTAGAGCCACCTATGCTGACGGAAGGCATTGATCTCAGGGAGTGACACACAGGATGTGTCTCTTTATATTTCCCCGGAACCATTTCCTAGTTATGGGCACCATATGTGTTAGCCTTTTGGAGACAGCCTCCAGGACAAACACTGTTTCCTAAGCATACTCTCTGTTTCAGTCGTATGGCTTTACTGTCACATTGGAAAATAGGGTTAGTTCAATCCTAGGTCATAAGTGCTTACTGCTAGAGAGAAACAGAATTAAGAAATCTACGTTCTATAAAAATTTAAAATCTAAAACTCAATTTCTTTTTCCCAGGATCAGATACATTTGGGCCTGTTAATATATCAATTATTAACTAACTACTATTCTCCCCAAAAGTTGAGGCCAAATCAAGCGGTAAGGAATAGTTTGATACACTATAATGCAAGGGCCACAGCGTTAATAACATGTTTTCTAGATGTGTGTATGGGTGTATATATACATATATACATGTGCTCCAAGGGCGTGAAATACTTTCTGGCTTACAGTTGGTCTTTAATAAATATTTTTGAGTGAATGTAAGTTTATTTATCAACATTACCATGATTTACCATCATTATTGTTAGGATATCAGCTAACATTTAATTACTATTTATTAGGTTTCAGGCAGTTGGCAAATTTTGTTGTTTTTTTTTTAAATAGCATGATCCTATTTTATCTTAGTGACTTTTGGGGGGGAATATATTATTAATCTCATTTCACAAATAACATATAAATGATGAGTAAAACAAGATTCTGATTCATTAAATTACTTGTCACAAAACCAAGAGTTGGATCCACATAGTAGCCTAGGGCCAGATGATTAGAGTATTCCCAATGAACATCTGCTGAATATATGTGAATCCTCAAGACAACATACGGGGCATTCTTTTGTTTCTGACTAATAAAACCATGTTGTATAAGGAGTGATTAGAAGAAAACTTTGAAAATTATTCATTGCTATTATAGAAAATAGAGAATTAGCATTTACTCAGGTACAATACAGGCTCATTAATGGGAAGACTTATGGACTCCTATTTCCCTCTGTGGGTAAAACTAAAGGGACATGGAAAAGGGATGTTTCAAAGGAAGCTGCTGGTCCCACCTGTAGGGAGCAATTCACCTTGTATTGCTAGCAGCCCAAATCCTGTTTTACCATAAAAAAAGCACTACTATTTCCATTGCTTCCACCTGTGGAAGAGATCAAACAAAACACCTTGCTGTTAGCTCACATACCTCCAATGGGCCTCTGGGCCATTGGGCGTCCAAGCATTTTCCTCCCCTTGACCTTTTATTCATCAGAGAGGAAAATGTTGCACGAAGAGAAAATAACAGCTGCTCTCACTGCCCTAGAGCAGAGCTGAGAACTGAGTTCCCACAGTTTTCATAAAGTCGTCTTTCTATTTTGGATGTGGGAGAATCTGAAGTAGATTCAAATTTGCTGAGTCAGCATCTGAGAGAGGCTGACGAGGTTAGGTCAGATCCCACTCCTTCTGAGAGGTTGTAGCTTGCCACTCTGTTCTACAGGGAGCTCCGCCACCCTTGCCCTTCCTTCAGCCCCTGCCATTCCCTCTCCCTTTTCCCCACTGGATTTTCCACCCAGCACATATACATACTCCAGAGCTACAGGAGTTTGTGTGACTCAATGACTGATTGTGCCCCTGGACCAAAAACAGGGCTTGGTACATAGTAGGTACTCGATGAATACATTCTGAATCAATGGATAAGTCCATCTGGACTCAGGAAGTCAATGCAGACTGATGGGCACAGGTGCCACCTTTATCTTTATGGCAGGGCTAGAGTACACAGATGCTGACAGCCAACCAAGCCCTTAAAGGTACCCCTCAACCAGCCATTTTTTCACTTTAAAAAAAATCCATAATTTCTTGACCAGATGCCTGAAGTTAAGGGTTGTGAGGAGTCTCAGACCAGTTCTATAAGACTTTTAGATAACAAAATAGACAACATAGATGGTCCCCAAAAGCATTTACAGCAATTGTAAATTGCAATCCAACCAATCTCATACATTCAGGGTTCAAGTTTGAGGCATCATCTTTTAACA